GTGTGTGTGCCCACCTGCACAATAATAAGCCATGGTTCATAAACTACGCCAACCTATGCATACCCATCCCGTCAAATACACCAATTCGTCACACCACATGAACGCCCACGCACAGACACACACACACGCACACGCACACTCTCCGTACGCTTTCTGTAGTAGCACCGTCCGTGTCCAAGGCTGCAGCGGTGGGCGTGTACACGCCCCCATGGCTTTCGAGCTCTTTCTTGTTGGTGGGTGTTGGGGTTGTGTTCCTGCTAGAGGTTTCGGTGTCGCTTGCTGTAGACTGTTCCGGGGGCGTCAGTGTGTATTGCTGTGATTGTGGGTTGGGTAATGTTAACTGTATGCGACTGACTGGGTCAATAGACCGGATGCATAAACTTGGCCTTGTTCGTCAGATAGGAACGTGTGTGCGCAAACTGTGCATACGTGTGCACGCCCGTGTGTGCGCAAACTGTGCATACGTGTGCATGCCCGTGTGTGCATGAGCTGTACACTCCTACACCATTTTCTCGATACGTCTCCGTGCAACCGTTCCGATAGATAGCTAGCGCCACCACAAACCACACACATGTGAGATAGTGATACAACACACTCCACACAACATGGTGATATACACATGTGAGATAGTGTTACAACACACTACACACAACACGGTGATATACACATGTGAGGTAGTGTTACAACACGCTACACACAAAGCGGTGACACACACATGTGAGACAGTGATACAACACACTACACACAACACGGTGATATACACATGTGAGATAGTGTTACAACACACTACACACAACACGGTGACACACACATGTGAGATAGTGATACAACACATTACACACAACACGGTGGCACACACATGTGAGATAGCGTTACAACACACCACACACAACACACAACACGGTGTTATACACATGTGCCATTGAACTCTAGCTATACCTGATGCATATTCTTGCCCCAGTCTTTCCTCTTGTTACGTTTTCTCGCGTCGTACGTTTCTTTCATTCGACTGATAGCGTTCGTCGCGGCCGTGGCGGAATCCAACGCGAGCTCACTTTTTGCGTACCTTGATTTTGCAAAAAACATAAAATTGGCACAGCAACGTTAGGACACAAGCCAATGTGGTCTGGTTGGAATCCCAAATTTATCCCACCCACACACACACCCCTTTTCAAAAGAGAATAGGGTTAATCTGCTGGAAAAGTATTACTTTGGCATTCCACATCCTCAAAGCTACACTCCAACACATCACCTGTTTGCCGTGAAAAGAACCGGAAGTAGCAGAAGTACCAAAAGTATAAAGTGCCAATCAAAAAGTGCCAAAGAGAACCAAACACGCCTTTGCCACATACCCGACTAACAGGTCATTGATGGCGAGTGTGCCTTTGTATAATTTTTGGGTCTCACTAGTGTGTGGGTTGTCCTCCGCTGGAACGGGTGTTGGACTTTCCTCTGCACTCCGCTGTGTGTGTGTGTGGGAGGGAGGGGGGGGGTTGATCAAAGGATGTTTTAAAATCTATCACGTGTGCGTTATAGTTCAAGATCTGTGTGAACGATTGGTTCAGATATAATCACAAACGTATGCTGCCGTGTGCTATACGGAAACGGAAGGAAGCTGGTGAGGCATAAAACCCTAGCGAGGCCAAAAACGGAGAGGAACTGCACTACCATCAGTCTATACAACTAGGTTAACATATCTATTACGTCCCCTCTTGCTTTGACGCGCATTTCGACCACATATATACGCATATGGATATAGTATATGCATTATCTATCGCTATACATGCGTAAATTAATATATACACATTGGTACATACCATATACGTATATATGTATATACATTCATTCATAAGTATGTATGTTGAAAAAATAAATACGCGAAGACATACACAGGAAACGTACATACATTCTTACTCTTATATATATATGAACATACATATATACATATGTACATA